CTGTGCTCAGCCACCCTGGCTTCATGGAAGGGGCCTTGAAGACGGCTGCACTTGCATCTGGAGCTTTTCAAACTAAAGAGGGGCTGTCAGCCAAGATGTCCACACGTCGTGCCGTCGGTCAGCCAAGATTTTCTGGGCCTCTGCTCTGTGCCAGGTACGGCACAGGGCTGAGTGTAGAGGGGGGAATACAGAGCGGGACCCCAGAGCTTCCGTTGAGAAAGCAGTTCTCTTCCTGAAAGGCAGATGGTTCAGGAGATCAGGACAGGACCCAAGAACAGTCTTAAATCCCTAGAAAGCATAGGCTAAAGCTGATTCTAGTTGTCCTGGGCCCTGAAATAAAGCTAGACCTTAAGTCTTGGTGGGGTGGGAGCAGGGCTCCTGTACACATGCCCTTGAACAGGTATAAGCTTAAGCAACGGTGGGCACTTCTATCTCTGTAAAAGCTTCCAGGGAAGCTGGACCCCAGGAGATGGCTGCAAAACTTAGCTGGGAAGTTTGCACAGTTCTTGAGTCCCTGTGGGGAAGCACACACTGCAGGGAGGCTCTTTGCAGCAGAAGCAGACGCTGAAGGCTTTCTAAGCGTCAGCAGTCAAAAGGGGGACCTTGGACAGGATGGAGGTTCAGTTCTCTGGACGAGAGCTTAATCCTTCCCCGACCACTAGATCTCTCAGATCCGTTTGTAGCTGGCAAGGCCGTGGGAGGCTGAAGGCCCAAGTGAAATGGAGGCGCAGCAAAGCCAAGCCCTCGTCAGTATCGATGCTCAGCCCCTGAGCAGCGCGGTTCTGTGGAACCCGGTGCACCCCTTTGCGCTCTGCTTAGATGGCCTTGCGGGGTCAGGAAGGAGTCAGCAAATCCTTTTCCTCCTGGCGCGGGTTTTGCGTTCCCTCCCTCCTCATTGAAGGTGGTGACTCAGAGAACGGCTTGTGGCTTCAGGGGTTCATGCTCAGATGTTTTGCCTGCGGGCCTGCCTCTCTGGTGGTCCCCGGGGCTGAGGGGCCACCGCAGGTGGGGAAGATATGCTGGGTGGCATTGAGGTCAGAGCAGCCCAGTCCCCGCCCATCTGTCTTCAGCCTGTCATCCGCTCGGGAGATCACAGATGGTTCTTCTGGAAGGAATCAGCCTGGCGGCTGATGGGCCTGAATTCTCCATAAACACTCAGCAGCATCTCCCGAAGGTCCACAGGACTCTGGGTGGGGTCAGAGTTTTGCCTGTGTATGTGGCAACACACAAGGCCGCAGAAAGGACAGTTTGGCATGTTGTCGGCACACGATGTGTTTGGTTACAAGGCGGCAGTGACCTGTGGGACCCTGTGTTCTGGGGGCTGCACGTCCTAGCACCCCAGACTCATCCCTTAAGCTTTCACAGGACCTCTCAAGAACAGATGTTTAATCCTGCTTTGGCCTGTGATGGAGGTTTTGTGCAACATGAATGAGACTTAAAACCAGGGAGACAGAGCTGAGTGGAAAGAGCATGGCTTTTGGAGCTCGAGGGACTTGGGTTCAACTCCACTGTCTTCATTTTACTGGCTGTGTGACCTTTGAGCCAGTTACTTAACCTCTCTGCCCGTTTCCCATCTGTAAAATGGGGATAATATTAGTATCTACTTCCTGTGACTGTCGTGGGGATTGAATGAATTAATACACAGCACGTAGTAAGCACTCAATAAACACTAGCAGTATGTATGTTAACTGTCTTTGAGGCTCAGTTTCCCCCTGGATAAAATGAGGAATAATAATGTCCCTCTTGGACTGGAGTTGGGAGGGTTAACCACGATGGCACGTGGTTACAGCTGCCATTGTAGTTGTTAGTCTGCCCTCGTTCTGGTCTTCAAGGACACTCACAGTAGCTGACGTCTGTTGGGTGCTTGCTGTGTGACAGACACCATGCTGAGCATCTTACCTTTATTAGCTGGTCATTCAGTCCTCAGATCGGACAGATGCTAGCTGGTGGAGCAGCAGCTGCCCCTCTTCTCTATCTCTGCAAAGCCCCCTCCGCTCACCGACGCATCTTCCAATCTTGGCTCCCATGGCGCCCGTCCCCTGGTTCCAGCTTTTGTGAAAATTCTAGCAATGACGCTGGGTTTCGCCAGCACAGTTGCATCACTGAACCATCCCCATCCAGCCCTGCCAGATGTTTTGCTAGATGCTCTGGCCAGGAGAGAGGCCCTGAGTACAGGGGTCTCTTCTCTGTGCCTTCCCGGCCCAGCTACAGGGTGTTGTGCCGGTCGCTCTGCACAGGGCCTTACTCTTCTCTGGCTTTATTTCTCCACCTGAAAATTTGGAATAAAGCCCCTGTCTGGCGGGTGTGGTGAAGGGCAGCGTGTGTTTATCAGAACCTGCTCAGAGCTTGTCTCCACCCAGTTAGCACTTCAGATAGCCCACGCCTTGGAATGGTGGTGACTTGATTGGCTGGCAAGGGTACTAGGCCCATTTTGGTAAATGTCTCTGATGTCAGAGCCAGGCTCGCTGAGGCTGTGCAGAAGCCGGTGTATGTCTGGGTGAATGGGCCAGTCCAGGTTCAAGGCTACTGTGAAAGCTGCCATCACTTCTGAAGGTGTATGTAGTGGGAGGAGAGGGGTCCTGGAAGGTCCCGGGCCTCATAGCCCCACCCCTCACCTCCGGGTCAGCCCTCCTTTCCCCACCGACTGCCTGCCTGGGTGCGGGTCTCCGCCACTCCACAGTGCCTCCTGCAGCTTTCTCCCAGGGTCATCTTCATGGCCCATGCCACCGCCCAGCTCTCCTGCAGGGACCCCACACAGTTCTAAAGAATTATCGCCAGAATTGGTTCACGAGATGCGACCATTTGCCACCTGGATCTGAGAGGCCCGTCAGGATGCTCGCGCAGAGAGCCTCCTGGTTTTGAAAATGGTGCTGTTGGTTACACTTCTGAGCAGCCCCTCACCATGTTCCCCGCCCCAGGACGCACTGAGCCACAGTGCACAGAAAGGAAGCCGCCTGCCAGCACGAGGCCAGGTCTTGGAATGAAGTAATGCCCGTGTGTCGGAAGCACATGTCAGGAGGGCCCTGGCCTTTGCGGGCGCTGAGCCTGGTTCTGCAGGGGCTACCTGGCTGCCGACCCCGTCTGTGTCCTGCCTCTGGGGCTCCTCTGGGCAGACTCACCGCTGTCCACGGCGGCTCCCACGCGGAGGCTGTGGTCCTCTGGTGCTTCCATCGAAATGTGGGTGGAGCACACATCGAGCAGAGTCCTTCCTGCCATTAGGAAGCTGTTTAATTTAGAACTTTTAAACTTAAATGTAGCTCAGCGGTAGAGCACATGCTTAGCGTGAATGGGCCCTAGGTTCAATCCCTAGTACCTCCATTAAAAAGAAAAAAAAAAAACCTTTAAAAGGTGATCGCCTCAGTGTGATGGTGCCTGCCAAGAATTAGCAAATATCAAGTGAAATAAATGCTAACAAATGCATTATTAGTTTAAAAAAAACATAAAATGAAAAGTGACTCAGACTCTTTATGGAAATAGTTTTCTGTTAAATGTGTCTCACCGGGTTAGGGCAGATTTCGTAAATGAACTGCCTGATCCTCTTTCACCCTCTCTCCTCCTCCTCTTGTCCCTCACCATTGTTGAATCCCCCTTTTACTGATGAGGACACTGAGGCACAGAGCAGTTAAGTAACCAGCCCAAAGTCACACAGCAAGGAAGAAGGTGAAGCCGCTGCATTGGAACCAGGGGTCTGGCTCCAAGCCCTCTCTCCCAACCAGGAGGCCGAGGCCATTATCCCCTTTGGCTGATGGCTCCTGGTGACATTTGTAACTGAAGACCCACATTTCCACTGTGGTACAATTTCCCTTTGTCCCATCTCTGAAGCCATAAAACGCTTAGCGGCCGTTTTGCGAGAATCACTTTGCCAACTAGGAAAACTCCCACGGTTTTCCAGGCATCGCCCCCCCCCCCCGCCCCAGAAAGGGTCATACATGCTGCAGGCAGGCGGAGAGAGCCTGAGGCTCACCTGCCTCTCCTTCTCACAGGTTCCCCGGCCCCCCGGCTCTGTTAACTCCCAGGTGCCTGTCTGCCTTCGTGCCTTTTCTGCTGTGCCGTCATCTAATGAGTCATTAGATCCAGAACGTGGTCTGAAACGATACCCAGGGTAAGAAATGCTCTGCATCGTCGGAGGCTGGCCCCTATACTGATCACAGAGAATGCGTCCTAGGACCCTCCAGGGAGAGGAGATCACTAAACCACTTACGGGGCCTCAGACTGCATCAGAAATCCCGACAATCAGAATCCTCCACGTCTGTGGCTGTTTTCTCCTTTGTCATGCTTGTCCTCTCCTCGTAAAGTAACAACTGGAATTAAGAAGAGTGGAGTCTGGAGGAGTCTGAGCTGCTCTCCTGTATTAATGAAAGTAGATCAGAGGGAATGGGGATTTCGAGAGAACTCAAGACAGGCTGCTGAGTCAGGGGCTTGCCAGATCGGTTTCTATTTTTAATCTGGGTCACACATCCATTCCTGTGACCTTTCATCCAGCACTGGTTCTGTGCCCTGTGCTGCGCTAAGGCTTTCCAGCACCGTCTCAGGGATTCTCAGTGTGCCTTAGTCAACCTTGCTGTCCCTCTTTTTAGAGGAGGAAACTGAAGCTCAGAGGGGCAGTGTTCCTCGTT